AAAAAAAAAAAAAAAAAAAAAAAAAAAAAAATTTTTTAATAGTTTTTTACTTCAACTTAAATCTTTGAAACAACTATCTCTTATTTTGTTCCTAAAATGTAACAAGAAAAATAAGTAACTTGCACTTTGTTTGTTTCTATCATTATCTTACAAAATTACTACGATATGGCTGAGTATTTTAAACATTCCTATTTGATTTTTCATAGAACAGCTGAGACAATCAAAAAAAGGATATTAGTAAAAAGTAGCAACCTAAGGTTTATTTTCACTTTTAAAATCAGTAATAGATATGTTGTTTGCAAAATATCTCAATTGCTTTGGAATGTTCACCAAACGTGTAATTCCAAGAAAAAGAATTCAATCAACTCGACCATATGATGGAACTATATCTTTTCCTATCCAAAAATCGCAATTAGGATAGTCACGATCTGGGAGTGTGTCTTGTTCGACGATTAAAACTCGTTTCACACCATTAGGATCAGCCTGAGCTACTTCACCATGCCAAACATAGCGATTGAAAAGTTGTTGCATCTCAGACACGTGTCTTTTTTCAGCCGGTGTACGAGCAGCATATGATCCAAGTATTGCTGCAGCATCACTGTCAGGGTCTGCAAATTGACCTCGTGGTTGCGTTGCTACATAGAATGGAATATTTGTCTTCATTCTGGCGACTGTTAGCAATGGACATACAACACGAATGTCCGAAATCATGCTTAACAATCCTTTCAATGTTGCATTATAACGTCTGAAAAAAATTTAATTTTTTGTATTTTCTAATTTTGGAGCTTTAATTCTAACTTTAACTAATAATATATTGATTATATGTATAGATAGAAGACATAATTATACAATTTTTTTCGTATTATTGAATAAATAACAAATGATTCTAACCTGAGCGCTTCATCTGCTAAACCTGTTGTGCCAAGTAAAGATTCTCTTACAATTTTCTCTACTTGTGTAGAATTAAGAGTAGTATTGGAAGTAAGATATTTCAGAGGTGCTCCAGCATGAGCAGTAGTACCCATTACAATTTTCACTGAAAATTCATCTCCTGCCCAAATCTGACCTACTGGTTCCTGAAGAATGGCACGGTCAAGCACCAGCCACTCGTGTCTTCTGTCTCTTGTTGCTTCCCTAGTCTCAGGCAGACCAACATTTCCTAAATGCCAAATCTCTGGAACTGAATCCATTATCTCTTCGGCACTTTTGCTTCGTAAACAGGCAGCGTCATTACATCTTGTGGAATTCAAAAATAGTTCACTTAGTTTTTCTGAAACTTCCAATTCCCTCCCAGGAAATATCGCACTACCGCTGGAGATCCACACTTTTTGAAAAAGATCCCGTGCTCGTCGAATTCCAACCAAAGTTGTTACAAGGGTTCCTCCTGCCCGATGTCCCCATAAAGTTACAGATGACTTATTTCCGCCAAAATTTTCGATATTGAGATGAACCCATTGCAATACTGCTATGATATCTGATAATCCGTAATTTCCAGATGTAAGAGGGTGCGTTGCCCTCGAAAGTGGCTCCGCAGCTAAGAAACCGAAGATTCCTAAGCTGCAATATAGTAAAGTAAATTATAATTTATACATCGATATCAATGACAAAAGTCGTGTTACAGAGCTAGAACTAACCGAAAGTTGGGTCTAACAAACACCATATCACGAACACGAGCAAGTTTTGCAGAAGGCTGCATTACACCTGGAGAACCACCACTAAGAGTCTCAGCACCAATCATAACGACTACTGGTAAGGGTGAATTGTATCTGACTTCAGGTGTGAAAACATCTAAGTATAAGCAATCTTCGTTTCCAATAACACGCCCTGAAGTCTCTCGTTGCCAGCAAACTTCCGAAGAATTGTGTGCTTGATATGTATTGGCCCAACAGTATTCAAGTTTTCGTAAAGGTTCTGCAGGTTGCCAACGACGATTTTCTAATGGCGGGACAGCATACGGAATCCCACGAAACGCAAATGCACCGTCTTCCGATACCCCTTCCACAGGTCCACAAGAAGTTACTGCTTCAAAGAGGCTTCCATCCCTTACTAGCTGTGAAATACTTTTTCTTGGACCGATGCAAGCAATACAGATGATAATTACGACCGATGCCAGGATACATAACGTTGCCACTATTATTAACACAGATTGCATAAATTAGATTTCTTATAATATTTAAATTTTCATAATTCAAATTGTTCTATATTTAGAAATTTTGCTATCTAAATATCTAATAATTACAGGTACTATGTAATGATGAAGATACTTAGTGATGTTCAAGTCTAATTTTCATTTTTTTCGTCTATATCGCCATAAAAACTGTAAAGTAATCACATACCTAACACAAACAAATTTCTTCTTGCAATGGATATACAAGAAACAAGGAAATGTTGCTTAGGAGGCTCGATTACGTCTGGAGCATCTCCGTCGAGTCGAATGGTTTCCATACCATCTTCGTTACCAATAGGATTTTTCTCCATTACAGCATCATCAAGTGTTTCAACACTGGCTAACCCAGCAGCACCAGTAGTTCCCAATTCTACTTCACCTTCCTAAAATAATATTATTTTTCTGATTATACTAATTTTAAGTACAAATATGATAATAATCAATTGAAAAACAAATAATATAAAAAATACATATATGTATATATAAAGGACATTCATTTTTTATAGCTAGTCATGGCTTATAAAAAAATTTCTTATGTGCTTGGATGTTCTGAATTGTGTATTAAGATTCTATATGGATTCACTTGATAAAATTAGTTTTATTATTGAATTATAAAAGTGATATATTATAGATTATGAATTATTAAGTTACGTTGTAATATATTACCACATTATATTATTACAAATTTTTCGGAATTTCATTAAGAAAAGATAATTTATTTTACAAAGGTTCAAACATTATTTACTGATTACCTTATTCTTCTTTTTAGGAAAAACTGAAACTAAGGGCAATTTTATAGCGCCGAGAATTCCTTTTCGTCCTTCCTTTTCTTTTGTATCTTTAATCTGTGTGTTCGTTTTTTCTGATGATACATTTTGATCACTTTCTTTCGCGGTTTTTTCAGCCACATCGCTTTCACCAGTTTCAGTGGGTTTACCCTCATCCTCCTATAAAAATTAAATATGTATTTACAATATCTGTTCCCACGTGTTTATTTCAAAAATATTCTTGTAAATGTATTTTCTGCAAAACAAAATTCATTGATATTCAATTTAAATATCATTATCACGATCATTTATTGTAGCGATACTTATTATTTAAAAATCATATGATCGATAACGCCAGGTGTGCTTTCAATCTGACGTCATCCATTGGTTTAATGTCGGAAAAAAATCGTTACGGGGCTATGAACACCCCTCATGAACACGCTATGGTGCTTCAAGAACTTGTGCCCTTTTGAACGATGTCGTTCTGTTGTAAACAGACATTAATTGACCAAGGAAAAAATTTATATTCAAATTGTTATTTGCAAATTTATATCCATTTTAGTTAACGTTTCAATGCAACTGAAATGGTTTATGTGCGAATAGAGAATTATGTTTGTATTTCATTGATATTGACTTGAATGACCATGTTGAAATTAATACATGCATAATATATGCATTCTAATTATTGTGAATCACACAAAACAATTAGATCTACAATTAAAACTTTTGTAAAATTCTTAATAGTAGAGAATTGCGAAAGAAAAAAATATTTATTTTGGAGTTGAATGGCATATTATACAAGAGACTACAGAGTACTGCAATTCAGATTTTAATTATTTGAAAAAGTAGGATGTTAAGCAGTACAAAGTTTATATGTTAAACTCTTAAGGCACTAGATATATTGATAGAGAGATAAAGCCATTGTAGACAACAACTTAAGGATTATTTTGGTAATATGTTATCAGTGAAAAAATATTTGTAAAAAAAAAATAGGCGAAAATTGTTTTACAATTACTTTACAAAGTTCCTTGCTCTTCGTACGACAGAAGCCGGGCATCTTAATACCGCCAATTGGAATTTTCTTTTTAGGTTTCTGGTCTTCGGATTCCGCGTCTGGAGCGGTCGATGCCACCGTATGTTTCGTGTTTTCAGCATTTAACATTTTCTCCCTCTCTTCTTCTGCAATTTCTTTCTTATCCATACTCTTTTCTTGATCTTCCTGGCTCATACTTTATCCCTAAAAATCTGATCAAATCCAACTCTCGAAAATATGTTGATACAATATACAACATTGATAAAATAATGTCTCTATGATAAATATATATTCTTTCAAAAATATCACAGTAATATAATGTATTAATTATCTAAGTATTCTTTAATAATCAAGTATTTATAATATACATCGTAATTTTTATTTGTTAAATTGTTACAATGTATTTGTAATTTAAATTTTATTCTATTTCAGTATTTTTATTTTATTTACGATTATTTGCCGCAAAAATAATACTTATGAAAGTACCTTTTTTTGTGAATAACTACAACAGTATAAAATTCTTTATGCTATTTTCTTCATAAATTTGAAACGATATAAATTTTATATAACATTAAGTTTAAAGCAAACAGGAAATATTACAATGGAAAATATAATTTTGATTAGTCATTTGTCCAACCAAAGAGAAAACAAATAAGAAAACCACAATATGTATCACCCTGTATATATATGTATAAGCATTGCAGCTGGCGTCGGGACGCCTAGACGTAAACCGATCGATCCGATGGCATTGCTCTCCGAGTCCATTGCCTCGGGGAGTCTAGTAATACATAGTTGTTTCACTCCTATTTTTTCAATTATAGATGTTATCGAACTATATTAATTTTTTCTCTTTTGTATAATTGTATATCAATATCGTAGAAATTTTGTTAAAAAATGTAACTTATACACTATAATTGAAATATATGATAATATGATTTACAAATTTGAAAATAGGTAAATTATTTTATGACAAAATAAGAACAGATAAGTAGTTTTAAGAAATAGTTTTTAATAATAGTTTTAGTGATTCAAAATGTTAAGTATATCGAACTTTTAAAAATTACAATTAATTTTTAATTTCCAAATTAAAACATTCAAACAAATTAAAAAAAAATTTAATTTAGAAAAGTTGGATTGCCATATTAGCTATTAAATTATATAATTTTTGTCAGTATTGTGGAGTGATAAGTATCTTTTTATAATAACTAATTTAACTATCGATTAAAACAATATGAAACGTAATTTAAATTATTTTGTTAAAAGAAATAGTATATTAGTAGCATAAAATAAAAAACCTGATATTACATTTAATTCAAAATGAAAACAATATTTATTTCGTTTCACATAATTATTTGATGTATATATTACTAATTATATAATAACATTTACGTTTAGAAATCTTATCATAAATGTTTAGGAAAATATTATATGTAAATTCAGAAGTAATGATTTACAAAAAAAAATCAAATGAACAAATTTTACCAATCGAAATACAAAGCGACTCTTTTTGTTTCCACCTTTTCTCCCCTAGCTTGTAGCCCCTTTATATTATGTTTCACGCATCGTCACTACCGCGTAGTTCCGAAATACATACGTTGAACCTTATATTTTGTGATGATTTTTCATACGTAGTTACCTTTTTTTCTTTATATTATCCGTTCTTTTATTTTAATAATAAAATAAAGCATTCTTAGAAAATATCTACTATAGAATTGTTCCTTCTAGAACTAACTTTCAACCTTTTCTTCATTTATTTTTCATGCATGTACATAAATATAGAGTAGATATTTTATATTTTTCTAAATGTTGTAAGTATTGTAATATCTTTATTTTACAGATTAGTTAATTTATAATTATTTGAAAATAATTTTATAAATCTTTTTTTCCTTTTTTTATACCGTTTTATATTGTTATCCCATTTTATCCACGATTCAGTTCAATGTATCTTTCATTGTACGAGTCGTGTAAATTGTATTTCCGATAATACTGATAAAAAGAATGATATAAATACTTACGCTTTTCGAGAGAGTCAGAAAGGACGCTACTGACTTTTGTGGACAGATTCTTCTTTTTCAGCGTCGAGAAACTGTTGGATGGCTAACCAGTGTTAGAGAAATCACTTTGATCTTTCTGATCAAACGATCAATTCATCGATCGTAAAAAAATATATAAATTTGATTCGGCACTTTCTCAAAAAACTGTTTTAAATAGCGCAAATGTCACCAAGAACGAAGCTTAGGGCATGCCAACCTCGACTGTCGTTCTACGAGTCGTCTATAATACTTCTCCCACTATGGTTTGAATGCAATGCAACGCCGCTATTGGCTGGTTCTAACTGTGCGCGGTCACTTTGTTTCAAATATTTTACATAACAAAAACTTAACCCATTTTCACCTGTAATAATATTAAATATTGTTATATAATTTAAACTTTGATTATTTTAAAGAAATGAATAGTAAAAATGAAAATATATATTGTATACAATGCATTTGTTATTAATAGTACATATGAATGAAAGACATGCTCGATATATCGGTAATTTAAAATAGTTCTTATTGTAGATATATTTCGTATTTTCTTGACAATTGTTATGTGTATCTTAATTACTAGAACTGAATTGATACTTATGAAATAAAAAGAAAGAAAACTAACTTATAATTATTTGAATATATTGATCATAATTACTTTTTATTCAAATATATAATTTTTTATTATTAGAATTAATGGACTGTTATTAAAGATATTTTAACTTTTTAGAGGAGTTTCTGGAACTAAAGATAATAATTATTGTATTTATTAAGCTAAAATATTAGAAATTTAATAATATATTTTAAGTTATATATTGATAAAGTTGTGCACGCGTAGTTCGCGCTTAATCCGCCATCACGCATGCGTGTTCTTTCTACAGTAAATTCGCGTCGTCGCCGTCGTAATATCGTACTTGAGTTGTACTCGTTTTACTATACGTAGCGTGCATTGCTGTACAACCGTATACACGACTATCGTTTGACAGTTCGATCTTAACGCGCGCATACGGTAACTGTCAATTCCGTTTATCGGGTATCCAATTGGTGTAAATGTTTTTTTCCTGGAAGAACGTCACACCTGCTTGCCATTGATATGTCTTTCATTGAATTCCGGGGATCGGTCTGTGAGAAAGCGCGCTTACATTCGCCAATAGTAGACACATAAGTGTCATAATGTGTTCGAAGAGGAACGTATCAACGTCTACGTGCCTAGAGATGAGATTCCTGCGTCTCTTCTGGACATTGCGGGGTTAAACTCTCGGCTCGACAGACAAAATAACTAGCTAGATAGATAGCATAAATAGTTAGAAAAAAGGGAGAAAATAAAGCGTTGGTGAAGACATCAAAAAAATTTTGAATAGGATCTCCAAATCAAAAATCGCGAGAAAAAGACGGCCGATCAATGTCTTATTTGTGATGGGAGTGCCTGCGCGGGGAGCACTCGCGGCGATTGTCGCCATAAGCGCATTTGCCGTTTATTTAAATAGCCTTAATTGCGGCTTTGTTTTTGATGACATTTCAGCGATAAAAGATAATCGCGATTTAAGGCCTCATACACCTTTGAAGAATGTTTTTTACAATGATTTCTGGGGTACTCCCATGCACAAGGTGGGTAATATTAGAGAGATGCTTTCAATTTCCCCTTCCCTTTCACTCTTGTCTACCTTCTTGTGTATTGATCCGTTCAACTCTTCTCCTCCTTTTCCTTCCTTTTCGATTTGGTTCGATTTGATTCGGTTTTATGTAAGTTATTTTCGTTTAATTTTAACTTTTTAATTTTCTTCTAAATAAATTGATATTTTTCTTATAAAATTTATTTCTAATCAAAAGAACATATTTCTTTTTGTTAATTAATTAATATATTTTTTGTCATTTGTTAAAGATACACAAAGCAAAATTATTTTATAGATGCCAAAAATATACAAAAAATTTTTAACAATTTTTTTATTCTGTTTCTTTAAAAATCTTATAAAACCTATGATTTTGTTATTTATGATTTTTTGTTATTAAAAATGTTTTGTTATTTATGTAATTTTAGAATATTAATAACAGAATATAATGTACTAAATACTGAAAAATTATGTATTTTTGAATAGGAGCAATCGCATAAATCATATAGGCCTTTGTGTGTTCTCACATTTCGATGGAATTACCTGATTCATCAGTTAGATCCTATGGGATATCATCTACTCAATGTTATCCTACATGTTGGAGTATGTCTGTTATATTTCAGGTGTGTCTTCTCTTTAACAACTCTTAATTTTTTAATTATGTTTTTTAAGAATATAGATAATATTACTTCACATATAATATTAATTTGATACTACGCATAGTAAGACAAATTCAATATTAGATTCTAAAAAAAATATAATACTTATATAAGTATAAGATATGTAAATACTTATTTATTTATTATTGAATCTATTCTTATATATTTTATAAAGTAGTTAGGAATTAGTATAAAGTGTGTCTTAATTGCCATTGCAGGATTTGCTTGATGTTTCTATCTGATTCTGCAACTTTTGTGTCTTCTCTTCTGTTTGCGGTTCATCCTATTCATACAGAAGCAGTAAGTTGTTTAGATTGCTTTCCATATCGATCGAATCGATCGACGTTACCTTGAAATTATATGAGAATATTATATGGTAATTATTTCTAGTCCTTGTTCTTCCCTTTGGCGACAATGTCTCAATACTGTGTCCAGATTGAAAGGGTGGACGTCGAGCGATCGATCGCGTCGTAGTTCCTAGTTCGTGTTTAGATGCATTATCAGTGGATAATCGTATATTAAGGTTACAGGAGTGGT